CCCATTCATTTGTTTTCCTTTCTTTGCGTTTCAGTCTTTCCGATTTTTCTTTTTTTAATTTCTTAAGCGAAGAATATATATACATACTTTAATATCGGTTAGATTAGTATCAACAAAACAACAAAACTTCTTTAAATATCGTACTGTTGTTCAGAGGCAATTTTATACAAAAAAAAAAAAAAATTGACGCAGAAGGGCAATCATACTTTACATTTCATTTTCAAGCATCCTTGCTTAATCTTCCGATGCTCTTGTCTTTTGGGTTTCCGCCAAAATTACTGCGGCAAATTTATCGCGGACGAAGAGATATCCCGGAGAAAACATTGCAAGGGGGAAAGGTCGTCGTATAAAATATCGTGGGAGACAAGAAAACAAAGAGAAACATCGCAATTCTAAAACATTCGTGGTGTAAAACATCATCGACAAAAAATAAAACAGTTCAGAAACTTTTTTAGCAGTTTAAAAACATCGTCGTCAACAATGAGTTGGTAAAAAATGAAGCACCTGCAAATCGTAGCATCAAATCGTAGCGTAATGATAACGTCGCATACATGCGTTTTCAGACTTTAAAAATTAGTATATTCGCATAATAATTTTGTGACCGCAAGAAAGAATGAGGATTGTTTTGTTTTTACTTTTACGTTTTTTAATTAACTAATAAATTTTTGCTGCAAAGCATTCAAAAGCATTCAAAGACAAAAAATGAGTAGAAAAATAATTCTAGGTGTAGCAGCGAATAGAATTTTAAACTGTTATAGTAAATTAATAAAGATCGTTGATTAATTACACTTTTTTATAAAGTTTTATTGGTAAATTTTTATGATAAACATAGTAGAAAAAAGATTAGACAAAGGAAGATGAGTAACAACATATGGTTACCTCTATTAAAAGTGTTTAATGTATTATCATATTATAAAATTAGTTAAATGCTAAAGTAGCATTAAGTTTCCTCTCAGTTTTTAAATGCTTAAGTGTCCTTTTTAATTTATTAGCGAAACTTTATTAGTTAATTCCAAAATATAAAAGTAAAAGTATTCCTCGTTCACTCTTGCGCTCACGAATCATTATGCAAATACGCATTTATAACTTTTAACGTCTACAGATATGTTATCGTCATTCGATGATTTGAGGGTGCTTTATTTTTTTTTACCATGATATTTTCAACCACGATGTTTATATACTGCGAAATTTTTAATCAGTTTATTTTCGACGGCAATGTTTTGCATGCGATGTTTTCTGCTTGCTTTCTTTTCTCCCACAATGTTTTGTATGACGACGTTTTCGCCTTGCAATATTTTCTCTGCGATGTTTTCGACTGTAGCCGGTCTGCTGCAGCAAATTTCAGGCATTTTCTTTACTGCCAATATTTGGTTATTGAACTTTGGAAAACTTGTTATGACGAAGTAAAAAACTCTAGTTCAAACTAAAGGAACCTGGTAGAACATTAAACTGCAAACTAATTTCGGCAGCATGGTGCTTTCTAGCCTAGTTTAGTTTATGCAGTTCAATACGTTAGTATCAAAAAGCGCAAATTAGTTTCATTACATTAGTTCCAACAACAAATTTTAATGTTAGGTGTCGGTATATAAAGTACCGGGAAAGGTTAGCACTTTTTAGAATAAATAAATTTTACTAATTCTTCTCTTAATTCATATGGATTGTGTATAACACAGAACTGAAGTTTTAAAATGAATTTCTAAATTTCCGTAGCTAATTTGTTACTACTTTTAATTGATCGCCTGAGGCAAATGCCTCCCTTACTTCGCCCTTATTCCGGCTCTGTTTAAATTGTTAAAATGTTTGAAATAAAAATCGTTGTTGACGAGAAAATAGGGGATGACGCATCGAATGTTAAACGAAGTGGGAAAGCTAATATGAAAGCAATGAATCGTTAGAATCCACTATATTTGGTTTGACTTACATTGAATGCAATATGTGTTCAAAGTTTAGGTAATGCAACTAGCAACACTTTGCTTTTATTCTAGGCCAAACTGCTCTATTATTTCTAATGCAAATACAGAGAATTTGGTGATATGCGTATCGACATTTTTATCACGAAACGTTTAAGATTAAATCAACGAAACCATTTTCCAGCCACATCACAGTTCGTCTAAAATCGTCATATCTGCTACCTCTAAGCAAGTGTTTAAGTATGTTAAAAATTAAACAATCTGAGCAATAATTTTTCTTTTCTTTGATGAATATACAGGTGCGAAAAACAAAGCTATATATTAGTAAATTTAAGTATACTGAAACTTAAACTTGAGGAAGAATTTATATTTTAATCTGAAAAATTTCTTTTCTTACAAATGGCAGCAAAACCTTCAGATACTTTCGAGATTACGTGCAAAATTATGACTTGTCTTGTACCAACTCTGTTGGTTATTGCAATGTTGTTTGATGGTTATGTAATAGCAGCATAAATCTTAGCTTGTGAATTCATTTAAAAGCGAAATAGATGAAGATTAATAAATGATTCATTGGATCACAGGACTTATGGACTCGCAGGGATATATTACAAAATTAGTCCTGAACTTCTTAGTTTATTGGAGAGTTCCATCAAGGCTGTGAACTTTAATGAAAGTTACATGCTTAGATTTAAGCCATCTTAAAACTTTAAAGTGCAGACGTGGAATCGACTCATGTACAAAGCTGTGTCTGCAGAAAAAGATTCGCTTGTGTTCTCAAGGCCGAGATTTTCGTTCAGAGAAGAAATGCCTTTAGATCAGTGTTTCCCAACCTTTTTTTGATTTGCCCCACCTAATCCTCTCTAAAAGTTTTAAGCTCCCCCTAGCATATACATAATTTTTAATATTTAAAAATTGAAATTTTACAAAAGAAACTTGAATGATAGCTTTTAGGAAGAAATGACTACGAAATTTTGTGAGCAAACACAGTAAGTGAACTTTCAAAATATGGAGGACTGAAATTCAAGAAAAAACTCATTTTAGTGAGAATTTTTTATTTTAAGTATTAGTAATTTTTATTATTTAAATTTAACGCGCTCCTTGCGCTTGATACTTGCTGCAAAGAAATTTTATGTCAGATTCCAATTTAGATAACTTGAGTCTCAAGTATCCCGGTTTCATTATATCCAACCAATTTCTTTCTCTTTTTTTTAGCAGCAAATAATTTATGGCATTAATCTGCATAATTTATGGCATTAATCTGCATGAATCTTCTGTTTTTGAAGGCGAAACATAATGCTGATAATTCAGATTTGAATTTATTTTCACACTTTAAGGAAAATTTTTTAAAAAAGAGTAATATTAAAGTGTCTATTTACTACTCATAATGCAACTGTTAATCGTGCTCTTGAGGCTATTTATCAAATTTCATTACTCATCGCTTAATCTGGGAAAAGCCGTACTATAGGGGAGAATTTAATCAAACCATCAATATCAGCATTTAAAACTGTTCTAGAAAAAGATGACAAAGACGTTAAAGCTATGCCACTAAATAACAATACTGTTTGCAGAAGAAAGATTAAATGAGTGAGGATATTGAAATACAACTTGTTGAAAAGCTGAAAACAAGAAAGTTTTCGGCACAAATGGATCAACCAACTTTGAGAGATAGTGAGGCCGTACTTGTAACTTGTGTAAGATATATTCATAAAGGGGATTTTGCCGAAGAAATGTTCTGTAAATCATTAGAAAGCACCACTACCTCCAAAGATATTTATAGTAAGCTAAAAAACTACTTAGATATAAAAAATATACCAATAAAAAATAGAATACATCTTCTACTGCAGATGGTGCTCCTAATATGATGGTTGAAAAATAAATTAAAAGCACGGAATAAGAGAAAGGGTTGCTTAAAATTGATAAAATATGAGAATCCAGAAATACTTCTTGTGCATTGTGTTATTCACAGACCAACTATGATCAGAACTGAAAATTTATTTATATCCTCTTTTCCAACTTACATTCGTGCTTTTTTAAGCCAATACAAATCAAACCGTACTGACAAGGAATGTTAAAATTCAACAGAAGATAGGTTTTTGTAAGAACTGAACAACTAATTATATTTCTAGACTGTAAAACTGTCTGGAAATGAGCTTCTGGAGAAACCGAAAAATTTTATAACAGCTATAAAGAAAAAATGGAATGGCAGCAAGGTTATTGTTACCATTCCTAACAGAAGAACGTCCTTCTTTCATAACGACAAGAAGAAAATATTTTAAAGATTTTTTTTAAATAATTAGAGGAGAAAAGCCTCTATCAGGGGCAACAGGTTCCAAACAACTGAGATTATGAATAAAAAACGTTTCTGGAGCATAAACCTCAAAAGCACATTAACTAAAAGAATAAAAGTAATCCTTTTTTTTTTTGCTTAGTAGAATCGTATGATTTAACATGGAGAGGCGAAGAAACAGAAAACAGTTTATTGTAAATAGTAGCTCTGAAATTTAGTTATTGCTGTTAGTACCCCCAAGTTAAGCCACCATGAATCACGCGAACTTAAAATTAAGCGTCTCCGTATTTTCTTTATTTAATTTTACACATTTATGCTTGAATTAGTTTGCATTTGAAATTGTCAGTTATTCATAAAATCCTGATAAATAAAATATTACTTTAAGCTTAAAGGAAAGCATTTTAAAGGTAAAATCTGATGTGGACACTGCATGACTTCCGTGTACAGCGTATAAAATTATACATATTTTTTGCTGCATTTCATTTAAACTAATTTTCTAGAATTTCATTAGTAATATATTTCTTATTCAATTAATTCAGTTCTTACTTCGCGGCAAGGCAAAAATATATAAAATCTCAAAACACCTTCATTACAAATTGCAAAATACAGAAAAAGCACAGATCTTTAGCTATCTGTTTCAAATAATATAAATATGAATTTTAGCTTAAATGTCTGCTGATGTTTCCTGTGCAGCATATTGTGAAACTTCAGTGCATTCAATGACTGCAGAAAGTTTTCCACCTGCTAGAAGAAGGTTAATAAACCACTTTATTACATTAATCTTACTTATGTGTAAATTTCAGAAACATCTGGGTTTTCTTCTGCCACCAGAGTGATTGGAAACGAGCTTTTGATCCGGCAGGACCCGCATCATTGAAATATAACTTGAACTCTGTGATACCCAAAAGAAATTACTAATTCATTATTTCTTCATCAGAAGGTGCTGAAAGAAGTGTACTGTTCAGCTGAAGAGTGCACATTAAGATTGCTTTGTAAAGAACAGTTGCAATTTTAAAACGAAGAAATGCGTGGTAAGTTTATATTTTAGTGACTGTTTAGAGAATTTGTTATAATTGCTTTTCAGATATGTGTGTCAATCTTCGTCATATTATTCAGTTTCCTTAAATCATAAATTTCTTTTCTGTTCATACATTGTGAAGTATGGAAGTTGTTACTTAAGAGTAAACGTTTTGTTATTTACCTTTAATTACTGATACGGATGCAGTACAAATAAAGATACATATACCTGTTTTAAAATAAAACCGAGTTATATATAGGTACAGATATCGAACTTTAAAGCCTTTATGTTGAATATTTGCTTCTTTAACATGCACGGTGGAAATTATAAGTGCAATAAAATTTTATGTATAATATATGGATTAATTATATTTAAACATCCATATTTTCATTGATTCTGTAACACATTCAATGATAAATTACATTAGCTATTTTATGTTAAGGCAAATGCAAACATATAGTTATTAATATCTGAAATTTATTTTCAATTTACATTAAGATTATTTAATTACTATATAGTGAATGGTTCGGAAAAAATATAATTTATATGGGATTTATTTTTAAACAAATACAGTTGACCACCAATGCCCAGATCGTTTTCTCATCTTTCGGGCTACTTTAAAAATGAACTTTCTAATAATTATTTAACTGTTTTTAATTTTTTCGTTGGTTTAAATAATACAGGAAAATAAACTAATTCACTGTATATATATATACATATATACTATATGAATGCTTGCCTAAATTTACTTTTACATCCCAGAAACTAATAATATTCTGTGAAATATCCAACTAATGGAATGAATTTTTGCAGCGATGATGTGAAAAATAAGCATAATTAGCATTATCCAATCGAAAGTTATCAAAATTCTTCTGATATGCAAATCAAGACGCTGTGTCATTTGACATAAGCGCTTGGCGCAATGTGAATATCTGAGTAAGTTTCTCTAATATAGCGTTTGATTTCAATATATAAGATCTCAAAACGGTTGTTATGGCTTCGAAGTATCATTTGGAAGAAACCTGTGAAGTGGCGAGGCGAATCATCGGCCGTGTAACGTCAGAACACCCGTGTTGGGTGCAAGAAAAGACAGGTTGTCTTTTTAAATATTTATTTTGAAAACTTAATTAGAAATTCTTGAATAGATATTAATATAATTGAATCATTTCAGTCATAATTCATACAAAGGCCACTGACGCGGCGATGACGCTAAAATGCGTCTACTTTCACTCGTTTACAGCATCAAAAAACTTTTTTACCCAAAGCTCTCTCCCCGTTTTGTTAAAAACCTGGAAAGAGAATAATTAATCCCTTATGTTCGGAAACCACACTAGGGGGCGGAGGGTTTCAGCTGCACGTTTCTTCCAAAGGTCTGCTGTCCATTCTGTCGCTGAGAAAAATTCTGAGAAATTAAGTTCAGAGATTGCGGCCGCCACTGAAACTGATGTATCAAGACGAATTCTATACAGGAAACTTATTGAAAACGCGTTTATGCCAAAAAAAGCCAAAGGTAGGTGTTTTACTGTGTTCATAACAAAAGAGAGATCACTTTAATGGAGGTAAAAAACATCAGAACTCAAGTGAACACAATGATTCTAAGTTTTCAATATTAATGAGTCGAAGTTTAGTTCAACATCTGATTCTGAACGTTTCTACATCTGTAGGGAATCAGGAAAGCGAAATCATCCTTTGAACATTATTGAACATTATCGTTTATTGGAAGTCTATGAAAGGGGAAAGCTCGGTTACAATTGTCGACTTGGTAGCATCTTAAATATGTTCTTATAAGGTTATTAGTCTAAAACCAATCTGGTTGTCCAGTCCCTCTAGTTAATATTCTCTCTTTCCAGAAATTCATCCATATTCATATTAGCTCTATGTGGACGAATATTCTCATCCATAAAATGATCTGAAAGACAAATGAAAATGCAAATATAGAACTCTAAGGTCTCTTTACTATGTCTCGCAGCAGTTACTGATCATCTGAAAAGGACATGATGCGCCTATCCAGTATGATATCTGTGAAAATTATCAAACCTATGCTGTCATACTTGTCACTAGAGGGCAAGGAGCGAGTCCCTAATTCTCTCTAAATGAGGTTATAATGAAAATTAGTGGTTAGGTTGAATCAAGACTCATCTGTACGAAAACGATTTTCTATTGCTCCTTAGTCTAAAATCCATGTTCTCTGCACCATGCTAAACTCTTGTGCGCAGAAATAATAGGGACGAAAACAGCAGGTCCTTTTGCAGATAAACGGATTTTAAAACTCTATGTTCGCTTTATGAGTGGTGTAGTTAGTCGCGTTTTAAGAACTATATGATTTTTAGACGAGACCCTACCTATTCTCTTAAATTTGAACATCAGTCTTTTTTCAGTGACATTATTTAATTTTAAATTTATCTTAAATTTTAAATTTCAAATCCTTTATGAAATTTGACCGCACTCATTACAATTTTGAACCATTTAGTCCTTTTACTCTAACTACACTTTAAGGTCATATTCTATTTTTATGTACTTTCAGGCATGAATACAATAATATCTAATATATACTTTGTTATAAAACATAAGTATGCTCAAACAAATTAAACGTTTCATTAATATTTAAGCTTTCTCTGCATATTTTAATCCTACAAGGAACAATTCGAGCTTTTATTTTATTCATCATTCTCAACTTTAACAGGTGTTTGGACTGAGTTTATATTTGGGTATTACAGCCAAATTAAATGTATTTCATTTCTTTAGTAATTTTCACTATTTACTTAAATCTCACTTATTCTTCTTTTTAGCCTCGCATATCTTGTTATGTACATGTTTAGTAATGTGCTTTGCACATTGTAAAGTCAAGGGTCAGTTTTTCGCCAAAACAGCAAATTCCATTCCTCGAATGGGCCGAAGATCAGATTCAACCCTGCCAAATCTTGTAGTAAGTTATTTTTTATTTTTGTCATACTTTTTTCAATGCTAGTCAAATCTCATTGTATAAATTTGATTTGAATTTGATGTATTGCACTAAAATACAAAGTAAATAAGCACACTTTTCTCTGAATTTGTTAAGCGCGGCGTTCCTTCTATAAAGCTAAAATACAAAGATCTATAAATTCAAACTTATCAGTTTTAAGAGTCAAAGTGCGCCATTTAATCAGTAAATCGTAGCTATAAATAAAAAGATGTAATGCACTTTTCATCGCAGGGAAATAAGAGCACAGAAATAATCGTCAGTGATGATGTCTGTTTAGCAATATTAATACAGGATTCACATGTGGGTCATTAACACTCAGAATTGATTAACGTACTGGGAATTTATACGTAACAAAAGAAGAAGCCTGTTTGAATGTTCGAAAGATCATCAGCTGAGGTCCACGTGTCTAAAACACCTTTCTGCATGATCCTGACCTCCGTTTCTTAATCTGGTCTGATTACTGTAAATGAAAGACTACGTTGTAATAAGAAACCGCCTTTCACTAATGGTGACAAAATACATATCAGAAACTAGAATAGTATATACCGCAGTATATCCAGCATCAAATTAGCTTTGTCAGCCAGAAAACTAATCGTGTTTCCTATTGATAGGGTAAATCGAGGTAGAATCGCCTCAACTTGGCAACAAACATGCCACTGGTTATTTGCGAAGTGTCGTAATATTGTTCGGCCTTACAAGAGACGATATTAACACAAGAATCCATTATGCAATATGATGAATTTTCAGGCTGATGAATGATATTTGATACTGAAGAATTGTCTTTAGTTAGTAATCCCAGGGAATATTGGTATGTGTGAAGAACTTTCTTGCTGCCATGATCTTCCTCTGGGTATTTATTCACTGACCATATAGAGTTTGGTCCAATGTTCTGGCGCTGATTTTTTCTAACAAAACTATATACTTCCACATCTATCTCTGTCCCTCAATATTAGCTGGGTAACCGTTCATCAGATTTAAAAGCCTTAGATTGACCTCCAGGTTCCCTCGACTTGGTTCCAATCAAACACCAAAGAGACTTTGCGGAAGAGAAATTTCAGCCACACAAAACCCTTACCATCAAACCTAGCAGAACTTTAGACAGCTGTATAGAATGAATAACCTGCAAAACTGCTGAGCATTTTCAATGCCTTATAAAAATCTCATACAAGGGCTGTGCAGTCACAAATGGCATTAAATGAGTTTTATTCCTAGGCAATAGAACTTGCTACATTGCAGAAAATAGTATAATGATTTTGCCTAAATATTCTAACTGTTCATCTTTATGGCATAAAGGGTGTGATATTACGTTGTGATTAGTAATTCCAGGGAATATTAGTATATGTGAAGAACTCTCTTGCTGCCATGATCTTCATCTACATATTCATTCACTGACCATACAGAGCTTGGTCCAATGTTCTAGCACTGTATACTTCTAACAAAAACTATATACTTTGTAGAGACATTAGGATTTTTTTGAAGCAAAAGAGATTGAAAAATTAGCAACTGCCTCCGCCGAAAATCGAACCACGGAAATACCGGTTCAGCGTGCAGAACCACTAAACCACGAAGGCACCCACAGGAAAGCGGGAGAAATACCTTATAACTTCCATATCTATCTCTGTTCGCTCAGCATTAGCTGTGTAACCGTTCATCAGAATAATTCAGTATACTAAATGACTATTCACAGCGAAAGGAACACGGATTGACATTCGGTCGACGATTCCCCTGAGTCAGCTCGACATTCGTGAATGTGCAACTTTTATTTCTTAATTGGCTGTTCTAAAATCCTGTTCCACAGATGTAGACAAAGTTAATGATTTTACACCTTAGGACTGTGACAAAAATGATGACTAGACCATCATGTGAATTTTCCCTTAAGGACTCTATGGCGAATGATTGTAGTATTGTTTAGTGTTTATTAGGAATATATATAGTGTTATAGGTATGCCAGTTCATATGGTACTCATTTGAATCAATAAAGAAATCCAATTAAAACTTTCTAAATGTGCTTTACAATGTGGACTCAAGATTACGCAGATATATTTCACATGGAAGAGAATTTACCGTATATTTCTGCACTTTTCATTTCTATCTAAAGTCATTGCTTATTGTTAAAAATTAAGTATGTAACAATGTACAATTTGGAAGTTGAAACAAAATGTTTCACTGAAGCTAATGAATACTAAGTAAGTTATAACCATGCAAGTTAGGTAGCTCTTTAACGTTAAAAGAAAAAGATTTTACAGTATAGCAACTTAAACTTTTCAAGTCGGCTTTTCAAATGTTGATCTATTAATGATGTAATGCATGGTGCAGTCTCTTTTAAAGACCGTTAAAAAATAGTCAAAAATGATCAGTAGAGATCTAAAGTCTTTTAATGCAACAGCATTTTAATGTGAGAAATTGTTGACTCACTAAACCCATTCAGCGGAACATATTTTTACTAAGAAACTCGGATAAATAAGTTTAGTGTTTTATATTTCCTCTAAGTATATAAGCAATGGATGGACAAGACATATCTATACTTAAGGTGGTATCCATATCATTCAGATAAGATATAGAATAAACATTTTCTGCGTAACGGTATTTTTCATATGATATAAATATGTTAATGTTTCGACCCTGATTATATTATAACAGTTAGGACATCATCTTCCCATTTCGGCTGTCAGCATGTGATTTACATTGAGAAGAAATCTTTCTCTTTCTAAAGACTTTCCTCTTGATCATTATCCTTTCATCATATTTCACATTTTGTCCAGTATTAGTATCATCAGCTTTTCTTTCACCTATCCCTTCAAGTGTACTAAGTCTTTTATCAATCCACTGTACAATAAAGATAGCTAAACTAGGAAAAAATAGTTTTCCAAGCATTTTGTATTCACTGGATTTGAACATTATGGAAAAAAATACAAGGTGTTCAAGAAGTGCAGTTTTTAAGTTAATTTTCTAAAATATTGAGCCTAGATACGTATTTCCTGTTACAATAAGTTCTCAAAATAAGATAAAGGACTCTGTAGAAATATTTCCAGTACAAATTTGGGTGATTTTTGTAAATGTAAAATTTGGCTTTGGGGGGGGGGGGGTGTTTCGAGATGAAAAAGTCCAATTAGTAAGTTATTAATAGAAAGATTTATTTACTTTTATGCGCAAAATACGGAGAAATTAGAAACAGATTTATATTACCATTAGATTACTGTTCAGTTACTACCATAAGATTTTGATAATATAAAAATTTATTGCAAACAGCAGCTTTTTGTCATTTATTGTGAAGACAATACAAGAAACTACGTATCGGAAAACATATGCCTAATGGATTAATCTAGCCCAAGTTATAAACCCGTTAGTTTGCCAGCCGACAGGTGCTGGCTTTTTTCTATATTTTGAAATTAGCGGTTTTCCAGTTAAAGTAAGCTATTTAGTGATTAATTTAACATATTGAATTTATCTGAAATAAATGTCAGTCTGGAATTTAATATTTAGTACTCAAGTCGTTTGAATTGCGAAGCATAACCGACAAAAATTTCTTTCAAATATTTTAGACCAACCTATAGACTTCAGATAGAATCTAAATAAAAATCTTTACTTTTATTCCCTTTGTGTTGTTATTTTTATTGCTTATGTATCTTTTGATAAACATTCAGTAAGTGAAATTTATAATTTATTTTATTTATTTATGTTTTTGCTAAAAAAGTGTTTTAAATTTTAAAAAAATCTAGCCCGTCGGCTGCTTTTTAATTAAGCATTCGGCCTGAATGCAATTTTTTAAATTTGAGACCACTGTTGGAAGTTACTTGAGAACATACTCCTCACGTCCGAAGATCAACGATAAAAAGTTCTGCTAGTGCTGCCATCTCTATTCTAAGATAGGTGTCAAAATGCCAAAAATAGACATTCTGTGAGTGATTCGTTATGAGCACAAATAATTTTTTTTTTTTTTTTTTTTTTTTTTTTATCAACCTAGAGAAGTGGAAGTCTGAAATGCGGTGCAGTGGTATAATTTTTATACTATAAAGGCGCAGAAGCCCATCAAAGGCAGCTAGGAATTGTTCATTTATAGAAGATGAAAACAATTATGAAATTCAATAATAAATTTAAACAAATTGAAAAAAATTCAAAAATCGTAGTAGTAGTAGGTTTTCAATACAGATCAAAAAGGTAACGAATTTTAACCAGAACAGCAGCTGCAGTGTATCTCTGTTTAAAAATCCAAGTTTTTCGGAAATAAAATGCCCCTGACAAACAGCTGAAATTAAATGTTCTTGAAATCGATTAGGAAGACAAGGAAAATACTGTAGACGCAAACTTAAATTGCAGACAAAGAGATTCCTAACCGGCAAACTTTGGATATAAAAGAAATTTAAAATTAAAATATAAAAAATTAGTGAAATATATTTTCACTTTTAGATTTCAGAAAAATCACTGAAACATACCTCATGGCTATGTTGTTTCATAGATGGCAGCACAACTCGGATAAAACTGTGGAATATGAACAAAGGTATTCTTATTATGAAAAAAAATGCATTTAATTATTTTCTTGCTGATGCACTTAACTATCTTATTTATTGCAGTTTGTCTTTCTTTCCTAGAGAGTTATTTTGAATTTAAATGCTTACTTTCTCTAATTACAACCGAGAAAATATTTTTCATTATTAGATCCCCCTATTGTCTTCCACATATTATGATAATCATATTATGTACAGTGGAGTAAATAGAGGTGTACAAGAAATATAGCCATATAAGGGCCCAAGCCTTCTGTGGGCATTAGATGTTTTGCTGAATTAGATTTATATGCTTAAATTTTAAATTTTGAACGTAAATAGAAATAGACTGGTATTTTTCTTCCATAAAATACGTACATATAATGTTTTAGCAGTGCTTTGTGTAGTTATATGAAAATAAGGAGCTCCTAAAACTTCCTTCGTTTCACAACTTTAACCTTCGTTCCGGCTTCGTTTTTGCGT